CCTAGTATTAGCTAAGTTATTAACACTACCTAGCAAAGTATACCTATTAATAGGTATGCTCGCTAGGTACCCCCCCTTTTTTAACATTTTCTAGCCTCTAGCTTGTGCAGTTTAATAGTTATAACAAAACCTTCTACTACAAAAATGTAGAGGTAGTTTTTCTCTTTCTTTTCAGCCCTAGTTCGCTAGAATCCATGTATTATTGATAAGGTTTTGGGGGGTACCCACGAAGGACGTTGGAGTATACCCATTCCGCCAGCCTACCCTACCCATCCGCCAGCCTATTGCAGCTGATACATTGTGTGCTGGCGCAGCTGCAGCTGCTATGGTGTGCTGTCGCAACTTCAAAACACAAACCTTTAACAAACAAACCTTTAACGCTCTTTAACTCACGTTGTAGTAGGCCTACAATAATAATTTTTCACTTATTTTGAAGCTACAATTTCGCTCTATCTGTACATGAAATTTCGCAATTTTAAAATATTTAATACTAACGTAGATTATTACCAAGCCAGCCATATCACCAAACTAGCCACTTTCTATTAGCATGACTACCTTTTACCCTAATATAATATGCCTTAATAATAACAACTTTAGAATACTACTAGAGAAGGCAGAGTTATCCTTACTATCTAGGCCTTCTATGCTAGCTAATTTTGCAGTATCTGCAGTGCTGCTAGAGTATTAAATGTACCTTATTAGTAGGTCTCTAATTACCTTTATAATATTATGTTTTAACTAGACATATATACTAATTACTAGAAACTTACTATACTAGAGGAGTAGATAATTATCTAGTATATACTTAACCTTAATTTGCAAGGATTTGCGCCCTAGCTATGTAAGGTGGCAGATATAGCTAATAAGATACTTAGTGTGCGTAGTAAAGAGCCTGTTAGTAAACTATAGGCTAGCAGCCTTATAACATGTTTAGACAAGCTTAAAATAGCCTTTAATTAAGCTAAGGATAGACAGAGGATACTATAGGAAAATCCTTAGATAATTAGCATGTAGTTTAAGCTAGTAGAGGATACTTAAGTTAAGTATAAGTTAGTATTTATAATAATAATATACATAACTTTAATAAAACTAGGTTCTAGATAGGTGTTGCTTTGTCTTTAAAGGTTGTAACAGGCTTAGAGAGACGTGCTTAGCTAGAGCTTGTTCAGCTAGGCGATTGCAAGTGGGTTACTGTTATCTAGAGCATCTGCGCTGCTAGGTATGCAACCCTGCCTTTCATTATCTACAAAGGACGTGTCTATATCTCTGCCTAGTATAAGGAGACAGATATACCCTATATTTAGAAGCTCTTAGTCTCTAAGAATAGTTAGATAAATAATATGCTTAGCCTTAAGTAGTTAAAGCACTTTAACACGCATACAAAGACGCGTTAGGTAGGAGTAGGCTGGCGGATGGGTAGGGTATGCTTTTTTACGTTTTGGCTTATAGCTTCTTAACTAGCAGAGATA